TTTGCAGCTTCAATTCAAAACTATTCAATTATTGTTGGATGTTCTTGAGTATTCACGTTCAATTCCAGTCTTCTATTTCTCGAGAAGATTGACAGTTTGAATACTTGCATTGAACACTCACATCCTCTGATCAAACTATGACAAACAATTGCTCTCTTTGTATCGGACAACCTGAATGACACAAATTATCTTTAGTGATCTATGGAACAGGTTCGCTATTGGTTACATTATTTTGTCTTTCTGTTTGCGCTTGTTTGTTTTCAATTAGATCTAGTAAAGTACACAATTTACTAGTGACTATAGGATTTCTTTCGACAACCATTTCAATCTATTGACGTCTTCAAACTCAAACATTTGTCTTTGTGTGAATACTCTCAACAACAACAAAAAAAAAATGAATTAGAAGAGCAGAACACTATGATGGTTTTCTACAAAACCCTTTTTCAATAATTATCATATTCCTAGAAATCTCATGTACGATTCTTTTCCTATGATGATCAATTGCTCATGATTGGCGTTATCCATCCTACACACACACACACACACACCCTCGTCTGAATGATCAAAAGATCACTCGAAAAGTTCGGGCTGGTATGCGAAGCACAGATTGAAGGTTCTATGCAAGATCCGACCACACTAGGCAACGCACGCCTACTGGAAAACTCGACTAATTGAACAGACAATTGAATAGTTGAATTCCATGTTCGGGTTTCGCACTAATACATGATCGTTACCTTATGAGATGGAGAATGATGCGTTTGCGTATGGCAGTGTGGTTGGTAAATGAATATAATTTTTATTTTTCCGTTGACAGGTGAGATGCGAAGAAATAAATTAACGAAAATTTAATATTGATTTTTCTTTCTTTTTTCCTTGCCTTTTAGAATGATTCGAGAAGAAACTCTTGAAACGACGATTCAACAAGAGGAAAAGTAGTTCTTTCATATTGAACGGCTCATCCGTCTGTATCGGATATGGATTCAACACAGAACACACGAAGAAATGGAATACGAATGAATGCTCGAGATACACGATATACAGAATGGCCGCAAATAGGACAACACATGGATAATTTTCTCGTTTTTCTTTTTTATTCTTGGTTTATTTCATTGTTCTACTATTCGATTTTACTCATCTTTTTCTTACTCTAATCATTCGTATAATTATTATCTGATTTTACCCACAGTAGTCATCTATTTGTTTGTTTGTTTGTTTGTTTTTGTGTTGTCTATTGTAGATTTCTTTGACGAAAATGGCCTCGAATAATACTATCGATTTAGATCGATGCGAACAAGCGCTTTCGACATTGGTACCGAACAGCAACAACAACAACAACAACAACGATTTTTCCACACGTCGGTACCAACCGCGAACATTAAATGAACATAATCAGTCACGAACTATATTCTTACCATACTATCCGAAACTCGATGGTTATATGCCTGATTGGTTACTGTTGGCGAGTGTTCCACGTATGTATTCGATGTTTAGTTTCTACTCTATATGTATGTGGATATATCTAGAAAGCCAACTTTCAACACAAGAGACCGCTCGACGTCAACACGGAGCATACACAGCAGATGCATTGATGATGATGAACAAGTACCGCTATTCGAATTATGAACTATTGCATTTATCGGAACAAGATGCGATCGAATTAGCAACTCGTTTAAATGTCGGCCAATCAATTATTACCTTCAATGCAACACGAATGCGTANCCTCGATATAGTAAAAACACGGGGTGCTAGGGTCTCGGGGTCTCTAGCTGATTCTGGTGGGGAGAAAGAGAGGAAAGGGGATATATTCTTATTGAGGGTGCTACGAAGGGTGTGCAACTAGGGTAGAACGAGATTCCATGCATATCGAGATAAAGTTAGCGAAGCTAGGCCCGAAGGGCCAGCTCAGTGGAGAGAGAACGAGATTGCGGGCAATGAACGAGAATGTTTGGAAAGAAGAAGGTTCCAGGTAAAGAACAAGATCACAAACATAGATCCAGACACGTATGGATAGGCATCTACTTAGAGAGATTGAATACACATCCTCAATAGGGTCGAATGTTTTTTAGTTCGTCTGTGGTGTGGAAATGATAATATGTTGTCTGTGGGAATTGCTCAGCACATCGTTTTACATGGTTTGTAGTATTGCGGGGCTGGTATGAAATGTGGATAGTGGATGAGTGTTGATGTAATATATGGATGGTTTGATTTTGGATGGTTGATGCTGGATGTTTGAACGCAAGGCGTATGATGTCCAAGTTCATGGTTCTGGGAATAGACGGCCGATCGTCCGATGGTGTGACATGATTGTTCTATTGGTTGAGTGCGGTTGATGCTGTTATGTTGTTCAGAGAGTATGCTTTTTGTTTCAGCAAATATTTATTGGTGTGTTGCTTTGAAGCTTTTTGCGTTCTGGCCGATGGATGATGTGTTAACATACTCATCTTTGATGGTGATCTTCTCTCGTGGGAGTATTGAGCAGTATAGGACGGGAGGTTTTGATGCTCTCTTGTCGTCGTTCGTCTTTATCTAGATTCTTCCACTCTCTTCTGATTTGTCTTGTCCTTCTTCTGGTATTCGGATGATGTGCGCTGATAGATGGTCACGTTCCGGCTCTCGCTCACTTTGCCGTTTTCTTGTTTAGCATATGAACGGACTGGTTTTAATTGTTTTCGTGCTGAATGTTGTTATTTATTGTAATTAAAGTCAACTAGTTGTCCTGTGTTTAGACACTTTATGGACATGTTGTTGACATTTTCCAAGACATTTATTTTACCATGGAGCTGCTGAAATTCTATCTGTGCTCTACGATTTTTGGCACAGTAGACAAATATATTATATTGCACTTTAGGGAATTCTACCCCAACAGATGGAATCGTGTGATAACTGTCGTACTGTGATGCATTCATGTATAGATACGACTATTTATTCACATGGAGTCAGTTAGAAACGGATGATATCGGTCAGAAAAGGACGGTGTTACCCAGAAAGGACGGTAGTGCCCCCCAAAAAAGACAGTGTTGGCGGTGATACATTCATGCTTGTATAGCTCGAAAAATCTGGTCAATATGCACAAACACAAACTAAGGGTGCCTCGAAAGGCCCGGCCAGCAGACGCACCACGGATTTAGTAGGCATATCACATATTGAGGGTGCCACGAAAGGCCCGGTCAGTAGGCACAACACAAATTGAGGGTGCCTCGAACAGCCCGGTCAGTAGGCCTAACACAAACCACCAGTTGACAATAGTCATGATGTCTTGAGTGTTTGTTCATTATTGACGTGATCGATATATGGAACGTCTCAGCTACAGATGAGGTTCTGTGACATATGTGCATGAATATAGTGATATTCAGAAATGATGTGATAATTTTGTAGGGTAAAGTTGAGATGATATTAAAATTTGTCCTGTTCTGTCGGTACAAAGTACATGTTGACCATTGTCGGTGCGCCCGTGTTGTACTTTGATCCGGCAAATGAGTAGAATATGATTATCGCGGTGAATTCCGCACCTTTTGTTCTTTACTCCACACGAGTCCATCTTTCGAGACATGGATAATGATGGCTTACTTGTATACTTTGTCAATAATATAATTCACTCTGTCGGCATCCTTTTTGTTTGCTTCTTGTCCGTCTCTCTCTTGTTGTGTCCCGCTATTTTTCATTCTATTGGTTGTTCTGTCTCTCTCCGTCTCTTTCTGTTTGTCTCTCTCTCTCTGTCTGTCTCTTTCTGTGTCTGTGCTCTGGTCTCCTATTGGCTCTGCCAAGGTGACCAATTGTTTTCGCACATAAATCACTCTCTTTCTTCTCCTCTTTCTCTCTCTCTCCTCTGCGACATATAAATACTCTCGCTTATCAACCGTTTCACCTCATTCCGTCCACTGTCCCGATACAGGTAAGTCGCTTTCTTCTTCTTATCACACACAATGCCACCTCTTCTCGCACACAAATCATTCTGATTTTTTCTCTTATCTATCGGAGTCCACGGCTGCCAACTATGGCGGTAGGTTCTCCTTGTTCGTTTTTGCACTTTTGTTTTCTTTTTTTCTTATCTATCGGAGTTCACGGCTGCCAACCATGGCGGTAGGTTCTCGTTGTTTGTTTGTTGTTTCATCTCCTCCCTTTATTCTATTTGACGATCCTGTTTAGGTGCCATCGAAAAGATTTTTATATTTGAATTTTCCTTGATTCTACTGTACCTAAATAATTCGTACACAGTATAGAAATTTTAGTGCTGAATCTATTGAACGTTCTAATTCTTAAATACTTGCCCATTGACAAGTATATCTTCTCAGACGAGAAAACAAGATCGTCAGTAAAAAAATACAAATTCGATCAGTAATTAAATCCAATTTGGTCCGTAATTCATTCAAACTTGATCATTAAATATTACCTTTTGTCAGTAGTAAAAAAAAAGATTTTATTTTCATTAAGATGTATTTGACACAAAAGAAGCAGATTTCATTAAAGGAACAGAGGAAATATAAATTCGCTATTTTCATCAGATACATAATAATGGGAAAACTTGAAAATATTCACGAGTAATTAAATCTAATCATAAGCACGGTAAATCAATGTGTCTCAGCAGACGATGGACCATGACGGACCGATTGGTGCGAAAGACTAATTTAAATATTCTCAAAAGTTTATGTGTATATCTAGTTTTGAAATACCAATAATACTCTCAATATTGACGAGTTAGTTACATTTGAACACTTGAGTACTACAGTAGAAGATATAAGAAAAGAGAGAAAAATTAAAAAATACTCATAGTCCTACATGAAATAACTCGATTTAAAACGTCATCTAGCGAGATATATGCTATATATAGCTGAAATAAGCCAACAATGGACTATGAATTCGAGTTTGGCTGACATAAACTTTGGTTCACTTCTCACAACCGGACGAAGGCTGGAACGAAAGAAGAAAAAGATAAATCATACTATAAGACATTTCGATTTTTCTACTGCCCTCATCGCTCTTTCTACTGATCTTTTCGTATATTCTACGGAGCGAATCAAGTAAAACACTGATCGTCTAAATATTTTACTGATCAATTAAATACACGCCATTGAAGTAAGCGTTTTCTCTTACTATTCTTGCTTCACGAGAATATTCTAGAACATTCCTTGATGTCTAGTCAGACATTGAACGATTTAAGCTAACCAATGGGCAATGGTATGATTCTTTTGTTCTTCTTCCATGCTCTATATGTATATATATAGTCGCTATCGTCCAGCGAAAATATTCATTTTCTGTTCGGCGATTACACTCCTTATTAAACAGTCAGATTGCTTCTTGCTTTGTCAGTTCGAACTCTTTTGTATCTCTTCTTTTTCTTCTCTGTCCACGACGTTCCATATGATTTCAGATATTACATTGAATACTATTCGAGAATACTGTTCATATTTGCTTACTTGTAAATTCAGCTTTTGTCCATAATTATTATCACACAATATAGAACTCAATATGAACAACAATCCTGCTAGAGAATCATTTGGTAATAAAGATTCACTCAATGACAGTGAACAAGACGACCCACCAATGGCAACTGCTTCTCACGAGAAGACCATCATCGACATAACATCTAGTCCAACAAGCTCAGATGTGGTAAGTTCATTCGAGTATTGATTTTGTCGAGTAGTTTTATATTTTGTTTGCTCATTTTCGCGATTCATCTAACTCGATCTGTTTCATTTTACATTAGATGTCTAACGATAAAATCTCAAATGACAATGGTCGCCGTAACAACACGGACAATGTTCATGCAACACCATCAACAATAAATATGCAAGCACGTTCTTCTCGAGTGGATACTATTACTGATATGAATGCTCCTTTTGTGGATATGACAGATAGTATGGACCAGAATTATTATCAACTATTAGAAGAGTTGGAAGCGGAATCGAATGCTTGTTATGCAAATGAGTATAAAGAGAAAGAATGCAGTTCTATGGTTGTCCATAATGATACCGCCCTGGAACAACAATGCAGCGGTTTCCATAAGGTTTCTGACGAACAACTCGATAAAGAAACTGAACAACTACTATGCCGATTAATTGTCAGTCAACGGCCAGGGAATGATGAATCGGCTGAGCATTTTTTCAAACAATTGAATTTGACACCATTCAGTACGATAGATATGATAGCAGATGTTTCTCCAAATGGCACTTCTGTTATCACCGATAACACGAGTGTGGATTTTGTCCCACGATCACTTTCGCTTAGGTCATCACCATCATCATTATCAACAACAACAACAACAACAACAACAACAACAACAGCAGCAGCAGCAGCAACAGGAACAGGAACACAACGTCCATATCCACCAATAAATCAAACAGGCCTTGTCGACGATCATGATCGTCCCTTTGCTGATTACGGCCATCTGGATCGGCAAACTATTGCACAAGAATTTCATTTTAACTTACGATCACCATCACCAACCATCGATAGACAAAAACCATTTCGGTTGCATACAAGATCTCTTGCTATTACATCATGGACAAACGTTTCAAAAGAACTTGTTATGGATGAAATCAAAGATGAATTTGATATTGCAAATATTCAATATATTTGTGTTGCCGAAGAAATAGGTCGACGAAATCATCAACCACATTTACATATACAGATTATCTTCAAAAATAAAATCGACAAGAAAACACGCTTTCTCGATTCAATCACTCGAACACATTGTAATTACCAGGTGACAAGAAATGATCGAGCTTGGAATGAATATATTAAGAAAGAAGGCAATTATATTGAATTCAATACATTTCAATCAACAACAAAACTTAAAGCAAAACAATGGCCACCCACAACAGTAGCCATGTCATCGTCAGCAGTGCCAGCACCAGCACCAGCACCAGTCACAATCGCACGTAACACGACCGCTCGAGGACAGGCAGAATTGCGACGTCAATATGAAAATGATGTCGCACGAGAAGCATTGACACTAGCAAAGACAAGCATTGATTCTGCAATGGATTTTCTTCAAGAGAAAATGCCAAAACGATTTTTGGAACATTCTGTCTGGTATGATAACAAATAATTCAACAAAAATTTCTCATTCTTCTTTCATTATTTTCTAGGTATTTAAGTACATTCAAGTATGTCTCTTTCCGAGTACAACGTGCTCGTGATGAACAACGTCATAATCATCGAGAACATACCTGGCCCGATTCATTTCCCGATTGTACACCTGCGCTACGTATGTATATAGATCATATTTCCTTTTCTCTCCCTCGCTGATGTTTGTAAATTTTTTTGCGGGAAACTATTCTAGGTGAAGTTGTCACACGTTGGCTCAATGAAGAATTTATAAAAACATCACGAGCGAAATGTTTGATTTTAATTGGAGGAACTGGCACTGGCAAAACGTCTTTTGCCAAATCATTACCTGGCCAAAATAATTATTTTCAAGGACGTTGGCGATTAGATACTTGGAAAGATTCGGCTCGTTATCTCATCTTTGATGATATTCCATGGGATAAATTTGAGCAATTAGGTTTTCCTCCGAAAAAAGCCTTACTAACACAGAATGGCACAACAATCGTATGTGTATAACAGTGTGTGTTATTCCGTTATCTGAAGTAGCCAATGAATACACATTTTTTTAAATTTCCTTTCTTCTCAATTTGCCGCATTCTATACGTAAATTTTCTAGGTGACAGATAAATATAAGCCTTGCATAGAAATCAATATTCAACAACCAGCTATTGTTCTTCTCAATGCTGAGGACGCTGGCTCATTAATTGCTGAAGCAAGAAATACTGAAGACCAAGAATTCGTTGGATACTGGCAGCATCGTGCAATCATCTATCAATTAGGTAAGATCAACATCAGCAATTGCAGATAAAAATAGACAATATTCATTTCATTTTTTCTTCTTTTATTCTTCGTTCAATTCAAACATATGTAGGTCCAGATGAATATTTTCACCGGCCAGACCACGATGGAAACGATTCTCCCATAGACGACTAACCAACAATCATCAGATCAAAGTTGTCAACTCTATCTCTTCAACAGACTCTTATTGTTTTGTGCTCTATTTGTACTCGACATTTCTTTAGATTCCTCATTTCTTTTACCTTGCTCTTCGATATCATTTCATTATTCAACCCTATTTAGCATTATCCACTTACTCTATGCGTCTCTCTATTTCAAAATTAGCTTTTTTTGTAGCCTTGTTTTTTCTATTCACTTATTCATTTCTACTTTATTTATACACATATTTATCTAACCATTTATCTATCTATTCACAAATATATGCTCATTGCTCATTTGTTCTTCTAGATAGTCTAGTTTGAAATGTACATAGCCACAATACAACATCATAGCACATAATCGTAAACTCAGCAATTGTTCACACACTCTTTCAGCATGCAGCATATTGAGGGTGCCTCGAAAGGCCCGGCCAGTAGGCAATGTATGAATAATGGCTGGAATAGGTGAACACTTGAATATATAACTAAAATAGCGTCATTGAAATTTCGAGTTCGATACAACTGGAATCCTTCGGTGGTGACGTTGCCACCAGTTGACAATAGTCACGGTGTCTTGAGTGTTTCTTCATTATTGACGTGATCAATATATGAAACGTCTCAGCTACTCATGAGGTTCTGTGACATATGTGCATGAATGTACAGGTTTGGGAGAAGGATGATGATCGTGAATGGTGTGTAGATTGGGACCCGATGATATGAGTTGATGCTGTTCAGTATTGATGTGATCGGTAGTCGGTTGGATCAGGAGTAGTGTGGAAGACCCCCTCCGGTGATCAATTGTTCAGGCGCCGACGCCTCAGGGTGAGAGTGCTCGTTGCTGTTCAGATATTATGGGATAATGAGCTGGATGGCGTCCAGGTGAGTTCAGTTGAAATATGTCCGAGTTGGGATTATTGGAGTGTTTCTAGACGGTTGTGACAGTTATTGATGAACGATTGCCTGGATTTAGCAATCGGAGACGGTGAACATCTGGGGTTAAGTGTGATGGCTGTGCCGCATGGTTCAAAGGATGATGCCGGTCACATATGGCGCAGGGTGCCGTTAATCATGTCTGTGAAAATGTCAGAAGAATGAAACGGATGCTTTTGATCTTTTCTCTGATAGCGGTCAAATCTATATTTCTATGTTTCACTCTCTCAGTCGATACTATAAATAGACACTGATTCTCTCTCATTGAGTCATTTCGTTCCGTCTTTTAGGTCCACGTTACTTTAGGTCGCAAAGCAACGATTTCGGGTAAGTCAATTTGTTTCTTTGTCTTTTCTTCTGTTTTATTCGTGAGTAGACGCTTTTATCATGAGCTGACAGTGAAGATTTTTGACACAGTTTTTTTTTCATTGTTCGTCAACACGTAAGCCTAATGTAAAAGTATGTTGTAATAGTTTTACTTTTTTCCTTTTTTTGCTACCTCTGTCTAAATTTAGTAGGAATACAAGAAAGATTAGTTGAAATCTAGTCGCGTAAAACATTATCAAGCAAACACTCGAAGAATTTCCATGAACCGCAGCAATAACGGTAATACACATGCAGATGATAACAAGAAGGCAAAATCAATCGGTAATATATCGAGTCCAGGATCCGTACCCTATCGTCCATCTACATTGGCAATAGTAAGTAGCTTGTACAGATATACAATCGGAATGGTTTTTGTTCTTTTGAGGCAACAACAGCAGCAGCAAATGATAATAACAAGGTTTATCGTCGTTTTAATAATTTGGATGATATTGCATTCACACCTTCACCTGTTAGTATATTACCTCACATATTTCGGCCAGGTAGTATAATTGATGCAGCAAAGTTTGAAGAAATTAAAACGGATGTTATGAATAAATCCGTTGTTATACCGAAAGAAAATAAAAAGGAAGAAATAGCTGTGACAAATTACGATGACATGGATACAAAAGAACAAGAAGATGAAGGAAGAAACTTGAATGAAATATTGAATGAGGCAAGAGATAAAGAAATTGAACACCTTTCTCAAGTTATTCTTACTCAACAGTTTATGATTGATGATGATGATATAGCAGCACAATTTATTCTTCAACAATTGGATCTTGTGTTAGATACAACGGAAGAAATGCTACCAATCGATAACAATCAAATGGATAATAATGATAATAGTCGACAAGATCAATCTAGTATTTCTTCGAATCCACCCTCAAAGGACGTGGTATTGAAATCATCTTCAATGAGAACGGCAGAACAACAGCAGCAGCAGCAACAACAACGTCCATATCCACCCATAAATCAAACAGGTCCTGTCAATGATCATGATCGTCCATATGCTGAATATGGTCATCTTAGTCGAGATACAATTGCACAAGAATTGAATTTTAACCTTCAAGCAACCCCAACAGCAGCTATCCCGCGACTACATGCAAAGTCATTTGCTATTACAGCCATGACTGATGTATCAAAAGAAACTGTTATGAATTATATTAAAGCAGAATTCGGTATTAACAATATTCAATATATTTGTATTAGTGAAGAATTAAGTGAATTAAATCATCGACGACATTTACACGTACAAATTATCTTTAAAGCTATTATTGATAGACGTAAACCATTTCTCGATGATATCACTCAAACACATTGTAATTATCAAGTGACACGAAGTGATCTTGCTTGGAATGAGTATATTAAGAAAGGTGATAATTTTATTGAATTTAATGAATTCAAATCAACAAAAACACGGGGTATATCACCAAGACAATGGCCATTATCTTCGTCAACAGAATCGTCTTTACGATCTGATGATATGGCTGCAAGCAGCGGAGGAGGAGGAGGAGGAGGAGGAGAACGACGACGAAGACCAGTACCAACAATTACAACAACAACAACAACAACAACAAGTGTACGAAGACAGGCGGAAGAAAAGCGTCAACATTTAATAGCAACATATGAACAAGCAGTTAAATTAGCAAGAACAAATGTCGATCATGCAATGACATTTATTGAAAAACAAATGATTGATAAATTTCTTGAACGTGGTACTTGGTAAACACAAATCGTTTACAGTTATAAGTTAACTATTTTTGCTTGTGATTTTCTATTTAGGTATTTATCCATGTTCAACTATGTTTATCTACGAGAACAACGTGAAGCAGATCGACGGAATGAAATTCATAAAGATTACATATGGCCTCATTCATTTCCAGATTGTACACCGGGGCTTTGTTAGTCTACTTTTCTTTGTGTATATTTTCTAAAAATAGAGGCATATTTTTTCTTATTTAGACGATGCAGTGAATCGTTGGATTCGAGAAGAATTCCATCGGACATCACGTGCAAAATGTCTTATTTTGATTGGATCTACTGGTACAGGAAAAACGTCCTTTGCAATGTCATTGCCTGGCCGTGTCAATTATTTTCAAGAACGATGGAATTTAGATGCGTGGAATAACTATGCACGTTATTCTGTTTATGATGATGTACCCTGGGATGACTTTGGAAAACTAAATTTTCCAAACAAGAAAAATTTACTAACACAAAAAAAGTATGAAATACATGTAAGTATATCATCAATTCGAATTTAATATAGGACTAATTCAAATTTATCCATTTCTCTATTCATATGATAGGCTACTGATAAATATCGAGGTGCAAAAAAACTTGTTGTTCGACAACCAGCCATTGTCTTATTGAACCCTGAAGATGCCGGATCATTACTAAAGGAACCAATCACTGATCAAGAAAAAAGCATGGCAGAATATTGGAAAGAAAGAGCATTTATTTATATCATGGGTACCTTCCTAGTTTTCTTCGTATTTAACTTAATCTGTCATGCATTATACTATTTTAGGTACTGATGAATACTTTTACAAGAAAGGTCGCCAAACTAGAACGGCTACCTCTCAGGGCAATACCCAGAGACCATCATCGAATCAATCATTAACCTCCCCTTCTTCAAGTCAAAATTCTATACTTAAAAATGATGAATGGGAAAAAATGTACCAAAACTATCAACAACAAGAAAAGAAAAGAAAACAATGAATCTAGTACCACTACTTCAAACACTTCTTTTTCATCTGCTCATTTTTCCATTTTACTCATCGTCAGCATTCCTCTCATTTCGATTACCTTCTATTCCACATTAACTTGCCATTTGTGTCTATTCATTATTAATCCAGCTCTCTTTTAACCATGTTTCTTTAATTCTCATATGATTCTCATTTGATCCTATTTATCATAATCATCTATTCACATAAACACCTTATACCTATCCATACAAAAATACTATAATAATGATAATGATTTCATTCCAGATCGATACAAACTATTATTCCTACCAACTATGCATCCTAATCAATCGACTCCACCTGACTTGCTACTTAAAGACTAGAACTCATCCAATTCAAATGCCAATGCATCCTATTCACCACGATTAAATTCATGTAAGTCAACACATACGAATACTTGCCACTTGATAATCTATATCGAACTATAGTGAAAAACTTCTAGTTTTGTGGTAATTCATCTCACACCCTGTTGTGGATATATATACTGCTCTACTGAATTCAATTCTGTTGAATTTTGGAGGACTTTAATTAGTCTTTCCAATTTCTTTTTGAATTTGAATTTTTATGCAGTTTTTAACCTACCTGATGAACGATCCTTTGGAAAGATCGAAATCTAGATTGTAGGGTTCCAATATATATAACTCACACCCTGTTGTGGATATATATACTGCTCTACTGAATTCAATTCTGTTGAATTTTGGAGGACTTTAATTAGTCTTTCCAATTTCTTTTTGAATTTGAATTTTTATGCAGTTTTTAACC